CAGGTGTTTGAAAAGTCAGTCAAAAAAACCCGTGGCGGACACAAAGTGCCATGATTCAAAGTTTGTTTATGCAAAAGTAAGCGAGTAATATTCAAGAAATATTTTTTTAATTCATGAATTTTGTTTAAATTGTGATCAGATGGATATGGTCTGGAATGGACATATGTGCTGGGGATTTCAAACAAAAACAAAACAAAAAAAAAAACATTGTAATGGATTCAACCTTTTTTTGTGATTTTTCAACATTATTGTAGTCGCATATGTTGGCTTGGGAAAGTAGTAATTCTTTTAGGAAAGCCGAGATTGAAAAGAAACTGGTGCGCAGATTTGTATCTTGATAAGATTAGATAGCGGCAACATTGAGAATTTTCATTCAGAGTAAATTACTTTCTTTTCTTTTTTCATAAGTGTGAGATTTTTTAGACCAAAATTGTGGTTGAATGCATTTCTGTGTATAACTACTATATTTGATAAATTGTTATGTCCATTTTGTGTTCATGCATACATACATACATATACAATATAATATAATATAATATATACCGTATTGCTGATCTAAATAATGATCTGTCTCTGAAGAAAGTGAACTTTAAACCTGTAATTTTCATTTCATTTATCGTTGATTTTTGGTTACTTCTTGTATTGGTCAAAAGGCGTCTTTCAAATTCTTTTAAAGAGAGACTGGGAGATTCATGAGTATCAGATGTTCCTACTTAGTCATTCTAACAGCTTTATTGTTTGCTAGGAAAGGGATGTGTGTGTTATGCGTATGTTATCTTTTAGTTTTTGTGTGTGTGTGATGTGTGTATTTGTATATATCTGTGAGTGTTATGTATGTGGGAGACTTTAACACGACTGCAAGCATGTCTGCCTAAGGTGGTTGAGAAACATGGGTGGGGGTGATCTTCGGGATTATATATTAATTCTTTCTGTGGTGTTTAGTCTGTTGTTAAGTCCATCCGGTCAAAGTGTTTTGAGACGAAAAATCCATTTATTTTCATGTTCACTGGGACAATGAATGCCTTGTTTAATCGTCTGAGAGAACAATTTTTGGTTTCCACCAGTATTACTTCCAAGATTATGCTGAAGATGCAAGAAATTCAACTCAATACGTTACCAGTCACTCAATCGTGATAATTCTCCAATTAATCTTTGAGGGAGAAAAAAATTCCAGCGAAATATATTATGCTTTATTTTTGTATCACGATCGATTTTTTTTTTAATCACGTTTTTTCACGATAATGCTCACTATAATCTGAACAGTTATTAAAAATTTCTGATAGGAGAAAAGGAAATTGGACATAGAATAGGCTGCGCTAGAGATAGTTTCTCTCCACACCGCAAGTTGCTACAGAACCAAAAAAAATATCATTTCTGCTGATGACACAATTATTTGTTCTTAACAGTAAGTTTGATCGAATCGATAAGGTCAAATAAGAAAATTTATCTCAGAAATCACCTACAATCTGTTGTTAACTAAGACAAGTTAATTTTAACACCTCAAATGCGTAACTGCCCTCTGTTAATCGCCTGAAAGAACCCGTTTTGCCTTCCGTCTGCATAGTTAATGCTAACCTTCAGGAGAATGACCCGTTGGGCCTTCTCGGGGTAAGATATTTCGCATGTCTGGACGTCATGAAAATCTCATGCAGTAACGGATGACGCAATATTTTTCAATGCCAAACAATTTTCATCATACACCCGAAAATACATTCATATTACTGCACACCATTGCAAATGACCTAATCTGATGAAAAAATAGAAATCGATTGCGTCCTCTCACTCCAGTGGGTCTAAAACTGGCCTTATGGTGAAAGAAAGGAAACTAAAGCATTTATTTCAATTAATTTGCACAAGGGTGTATATATGGCTTAAATAAATTTATACTTAATATAACATAAGCAACATAGAAATGGATTTGCAGAAGGATGCTGAGAATACCATCGACAGAATATGTGGACAATAAGGAAGTTTGAGGGAAAATGAGAATGAAAAGGATAATTGCTCATACTATCAGAAAGCGAAAGCTTAGAGAATTTAATAGTTGCAAGGTATACTGGTGAATAGGTATAGTGAGTAATCTATGTAATGTGTTTAAGAAATGGCTTGTAAATTTTAAATTTTAAAATAAAAGTGCTTTCATCTAATCTTGCAGGTTTATAAATTTTCTGGACTGATGCTACATAATCACTTAGAACTGTACCCAATAACATAAACAATATTACTTGAGGATTTTCAATACCAACAACAACTAAAATGGATATCATATGTAACTCATAGCGAAAGTAATGATGTGATCAAACAAAAAATTAGGAAGGTGTTGTAAAGTAGTTTTCACAGTGGAGGCTTGTATTTCACTAAGTCGTCCTAAATTAGGTTCGACGTACAAAACGTTAGGAACTTGCAATAATAGTTAATGATGCAGCAATCTAGTTGTGATGGTTGATACTTCAATGTCCGACATCGACTGACTCACTCAACTCCACTGAGCCCAACTGGCGACCACTACTACTACTACTACTACTTATTATGTGTGGGGAGAGTCTATTACAATAGAATAGGTAATGTTCTAGTATAACAGAAGGATACCCCCATTAATACTGGAAAGAGCAATAACAGTTAGTGGACTTCAAAAACCTATTTTTCTGAAGTACATTTTTAAGAGAAAAAATTTCATAGATTTCAACCGACGTTAGAACTGGCTGCTCGGCCAATAAATGACGACTGTTTCCTTATAAGGAGACCGCTAGCATTGCCATTACTTTTTTTTGTAAACTTTGCAATTAAGTTAAAACTACTAGCTTGTGATTTTTGCACGGCATTTTTTATGCAGTTTATTTACGAAAACCGAAAAGTTTTCGGCCTGACCAAGTCGAATGACCTCGGATTTACCTTCTATTCTAAATATTTAGCTTGTGGTTCAACATACTTGATAGCTCGTTTCTAAAGTTTATTTGACCCTTTCAAAATCTTCTGATACTTGGTCATTGCCATTTTTAAATATTACCGTGTGTTCCTTCTAGACGTAGGTGATCATAACTTTCTAGACTTTCGTTCTATTAATCTCTTTAAATTGCCATAACTTCCAGGGAAGATTGATGGCACATCTGGTCTGGTGCTTCTACTATATATCTAGAGATTCGCGACAAAACCCGAAGAAAACTCTGCAACGTTATCAATCCTGACCTGGCATCTCGCTTTCAGTCACTTTCCCGCCACTATAACGTAGCTTCTCTTTACCTTTTCTTTTCTGGTTGTTTATTTGACTTTATTGAATCTTTCTTATGAAACCAGGTAATTGTTATAGGACCTTACCCATAATAACATAATGGACTATTCCATATGTAATAAATACTGCGCCTCAAGAGGAAGCAGGGAGTTTCGTCTGAAGTCTGAGTTCAGTCTGTAGTCTGGAGTGAAGTCCGTCAGGAGTCAGTCAGTCGAGTCAGAGGCAGTCCGAAATAGAGTTGCGTTTAGACAATTACTACTAAACTTGATTGTTCGTACTAACACTTTTTTTTACCTCTCTGTATATATTTCTGTTTGTAATATATCTGTGTTATTCCATATCCGCCTTCGAGTTCTTCTTTATTGGTTCTACTTTGGACTATCACCGTGGTACAAGAAACCGGACCATAACACTAAAGAAGGCCGTTTTGAACGGCCACTCCTCTAGATCATTTTGCATTTATGCGGGCGTCCACCAGCGCTTTATTCTTTGAACCCATTCATTAATTTACTTCATCATTAAAATTGCTGATGGCACCAATTTTCGACTCGGTATCTATTCTGATGGCACTCGTATTTACTCCTTTCTTTACTCCTTTACGTCTTTTTAATTTTAAAGACTCTTAAAAAACGTCTCTCTATTAGCCATCTTAAAGAACTATTTTGTCTGCCATCATTATGACTGATGCTAACCTCCAGGAGAGCAACTTATCCCGCCTTCTTAGCCTCACATTTTCCACTGACATGAAGTGGATTTATTATATTGAACCGATTGCTAAGTATGATGCTTGTAAAATTGCTTCTACTCGCCAGAATCTATCTTTCACTTTTCGAATTCTGTCCGTGCATTGAATATTGTTGTCACATCTGATCTGGTGCATTCGCTATGAGTCTAGAGATTCGTGACAAAATCCGAAGAATCTGCAATGTTATCGGTCCTGACCTGGCATCCTGCTTTCAGCCACTTTCCCTCTACTTTAACGTAGCTTTCCTGTTATTTTTCGATAAATATTTTCATGGTAGTTGTTCCGTTGAGTTTTCCTCTTTGGGACTCCGACTTTGCGAATTCAAGCGCGGTACAGAATTAGCAGTTAGGTCTTATGATTTTCCTTTTCCGCTTTTTTATCTCTATATAACGTGTGAAGGCACGTGCGATACTTTGGCCTCGTCGACAGCAAACCTGGCGAGGTAACAAGATTTCGGTGGGTAAGACGGTACTGTCACCCCAGGCGCCACCAGCAGCTTTTGCAATCGGATAGGGTATTGTTTATTTTTTTTTTTATTTTTTTTTTTTTATAGACAGTTGGAATTACTAGATTTAAGTTAATTGTAATAGTTTCTACTCCCGCCTTCCTCGCTTGGGGAACAATCTTCCAGCTTTCCTGTCAAATACGGTCTTCAAAAATTTAAATGCAACGTCAATCGTCATATAGCTTTTTTTTTTTTTAATAACTGTCTTCTGTTATTGTGCTTTTTCTTCAGTGTTGTTTTCTATGTTTTCTTTACTCTCAGTAATCCATACCAAATTACTGGCTTTATTACCTTGCTTGGGGTGAAATGGTTAAAAAATACTTACATTTCCAACTAAACATGTGATATTGAAACCGAATTCATTTACATTTCAGAACACAAATGCATCATACCACCGGCGCCAACAAATGGTCTCCGCGACTGCTATAAAGGCAAAACAGGAATGCACTGCTCATTGTCCTGTATAGAGGGATATGCTTTTGCTATTCCACCACCTAATGAATACTATTGTGATTTTAAAGATCCCCAATGGACGCCGGCCGACAAGTTGCCCTTTCCGGACTGTTCAGGTGAGTGATCTTATATTATTATTATTGATGTTCTTCCATTTCCATCTCACACTTGTTTCTCACTCCCACACATTCACTCTCACTGAGATTTTGTTTTTATACCTGGAGTTATTTTTCTGTTTTCTTTTGAATTTGTAGGTCTGATAAATTGGATCGTGATTGCGATTTCAATGTAATAAATTATAACCATGGAATATTAGTGTTTGGGCCTTTTAGATCACACACACACACACACACACACACACACACAAACACACACACACACACACACATATATATATATATATATATATATATATATATATACACAAATTACATTAAAAACGACTGACAAGTAACAGCGGTTAAACATAGTAAATATCTGGACAATTTCTATATAATTTATGTCCAGAAAAGAAGAAAATTATAAGAACACAAGAAAAATTAAATAAAAAATTAACCGCAGTACTTTGTCAGACGTTTTTAATGAAACTTGTATAAAAGAGGGATTGCTGCCGAGAGAAACAGACAGAAAGAGAGAGAGAGAGAGAGAGAGAGAGAGAGTTTGAAATTTTTTTTAGTACCATTGTTTACCAATACAAGGTCCGAGAGCCACTCAAAGTAAGGGGTTAATGAAGGACGCTGTCGTAAGAGTGTAACAGGAGGAAGTAAAAAAAGGGTATATTATGAGGATATGTAGGATAGATAATTGTTGACTCTATCGTTGAAGAAGTAAAGTTCTGGGAAATATACTCGCGGGTGTCATTTTTAAAAGTGACACTTCTTGGAAAGAAGCTGAGTGAAAATGATCATAATGATTTACTCATTCGGTTTTTTTTTGTGCTTGTTGGGTGTGGGGTAGGGGAGAAAGAGGAGAAAGAAATAGAGAGAGAGGGAGCGAGATGGGATAAAGAAAAAACGTTTGCCGGAGGGAAAACTTGTCCTGATTAGAGAGGGGCAAACAAGAGAAAGGCATAGAAATAGAAGGTGAGACTGATATCGAAACAGAAAACGATAAGAAGACAGAAATAGAATGAGTGTGTGTGTGTATGTGTGTGTGTGAGAGAGAGAGAGAGAAAGAGAGAGAGAGGCAATGTGTGTGAAAAGACACGGAAAGACTGGTGACTATACTCTCATCACAAGGTAATTTACCTTAAACATATTTGCTTGAAAAGGCAAACTGACTATAAATAAACTTTTAAAACTTGCAGAATTGTTGTGCCATTTTTACTTCAGACAAATTCTCTATCGATTTTTAACATAAAATGTGTCGATAATGCCCGTCAAAAATGTACTTCCAAATGTACACTCACGTCTGGAATTTTGATTTATTTTCCCCACCTACCAACTCTTATTCCAGAGCCCAGATTTTTCAAGCTGATCTCTTTAATCTAACATTCTTGTTTATTCCAACCACCTCTGCCTGTATTTTTACTTCGAAATGAAATTTCCTGACCTTCCATTTTATTCTAACTCGCATTATATTACTTGCATTATTTACATTATTCGGACTATCATTATATTCACGACGTTTCGGCCTAGGTACGCTCTGTCCTTCTTCAGGTTACTGGAATTTCTATCCGAACCCTTTATTTCGTCCACCGGAGTAGATTGTTCTAGTTCCACGCACCATGCCTCTTCCGAATGTCTCAGTTATTTCCCTTTAACTCAACTCTCCAAGTTTGGTTCACCACTGTTGTATTGGACTCACAACTTTTGGATCTAGTCACTGGATCTAACCAACGTCTTTATTCTCTGGGTCATCTGAGGACATCTGTGTATGAATTTCTAGGACTTATAAACCTAATTTCTCAGTAACCATATTGCAATTTTTTGTTATTATTAATAGATTTTTTTACCAGAGCTTATATTGCAATGTTTTTTGTTGTGCATTGCTTTTCTCTAGCACTCCTTATTACTGGTTCCCATATTGTATTCATTTCTATGTTTGGTCGGCTCAGGAGATTTTTGTGGCCTAGCATTATATTCCGTTTGAGGGTGCTGGCTACTTCTATAATTAACGTAAGCTCTCTACGAAATCGCTTTACTTGAACTAATGGTGGTGAAAAGGTACATGCATAAAATGACAGAGACCGATTGATTTGCAATGCAAGATCACATTTATTTAACAAAAATAACTAAAGGAAAGTTTAAGTTTCTTTACCTAGAAATAAATGGAATACAAAAGGAAAATTGTTAATAAATGTATTCGTGTGTGACTTGCCTGTTTAAGCGTGTTTTGCGTGTGAAGCTTCTAAAGACCGTTTTGCTCCGTTGTGAAAAGTTGATGGCACACACTTCGAAAGGAGGAAAACAGGAAGAGAGAGTTATTTAAGAGTTCGCTTGGATTTATACTCCCATAGCTGCTTCTGATACTATGCTTCTTAAGGGCTGCTACTGATACTATGTATATTAAGACACTACACCGTACGTAAGGTTAAAGAAGCCAATATATGAATTTTCGTATTTATTTATTTTCAGTCCAGCAAGTTTCAAATGATGTCATCCAGCCGGCGAAGCTAATCTTCATGAGTAAACTGTCCTGTAATGAGAAGACAACTCTTAACCGAATTGCAGACAACTTTCAAAATAGAGTAACTCAACTGGTTTGTATTTATTTGTTTCATATTAGTGCAGTAGAAGACAAATTCCAACGATGCTACCTACAGCCACATAACCTAACTCTAACAAGATTCATTACGAATAGCAAACTTTACAATCGAATAAAGTAAACAAATAAAAAAGGAAAAGAAACAAAAAAAAGAAATATACTAACATAAAAATAAATAAATTCAAGACAAGGAATATAAATAATACAAAATATTAGCCCGACGCCCCCAAACAATTTTTCCTTAACTTCTTTTCTTTACACACACACACACACGCGCGTGCGCGCGTACGGTAAGCCTTTAATTTAAATTTCTGGCGTCCGATTGTCTAGACGCAGAACCAAACCAACTCTATTCTGTTTCCGGACGCTGTTGTATTTGGCTACTTTGAAATATCCCACATTTTGATAGCAATAGAATTATTAAGAAATGTCAAATGTAGTATGGGCCTGGACTCAAATTTAACTTGAAAAGCTCAGAAATTAGTACACTTTCTATATATTCTGTTTCTTGTCTTAAACCTGTTCATTTGTCTGTTTAATAAAGATTTTTCTCATGTCCTTTCATTCTTAGTAAATCCTTGTATTTTAGTGGCTTTATCGCCTTAAATGGGATGAAACGATTAAAAATGTAAAACTGCATTGAGTCGAATTTATAGTCAAATTCGTTGCAAAGAATTGCCAATGCACTGACTCGTAAAATGTCCGTTTCTATTTATATAATGTTTTATTTAAATTCTTACAAGCCTCGCCTGAATATTTCTCATGTTGTAATTAGAGTGTATAGCAATGTTTTTCAACCATTTTTTTTTATTTCACGTCTCACTTCAAGTTAAGCTTCCGCGATACACATAAATTATGATGGGTTAATTTTCAGTTTAGAACCGACGCTCAGTTCGCATTAAAAATGTCCAGAATACTTACATTTAGGTGTAAACGTACGCGCTTCTTTCGAAAATGACTTGATAAATTTTATAAAATCTACTGTTTTGGAGTTATCGACAGTAAAAGTTCGGATTCATTCGCGTCGCTGCAGCCATTGCAGGCGTTGTTTGCATACATTCGCTGCGAATAGCTATGATTAATATGCACTTGTTTTTGATTATTGCGCACGTCGCACTCAGTTGAGCGTGTGTACGTAAATAGTTCTCTTGCGCAGTAACTGAGGCAAGTTGCGACAAGTAAGATCAGTAAAAAAAAAAAGCCCGCTAACTACATTCTTCCGCGTTTAGTTTTCCGCAGCGAATGTATGCAAACAACGCCAGTAATGGCTGCCGCCAACGACGCGAATGAATCCGAACTTTTACTGTCGATAACTCCAAAACGGAAGATTTTATTAAATTTATCAAGACAGATTCGAATGAAGCATATACATTTACACATAAATGTCACTATTCTGGAAATTTTTAATGCGAACTGCAAATTAATCTTATAATAATAATAAAAAAGAGTAAATAAAAAGGATATACATTTTATGATTTATTTATTAACACAATGAAAACAATTTATTATAATTTGTAATAGAAAGATAATTAATATTCTTTAAAAATAACTATTGAATTTTTTTCTAAAATTTCACCCATATAAACCAACCCACGTCATATGTTATATATACGTTTATTTATTATAATAAAGATGTACTCGTATAATCAATTTAAATGGATTTGAATTTTTATATATACACTTATTGTGCTTTTGATTTCGTTCGAAAATAATTTAATTAATTATTAAAAATCATCGAGGCACACCTACGATTGTCTCACGACACACGAATGTGATTTCTCCGCGTGTATGTGTGAAAATAAGGCAAGGAAGAAAGTGAGGAGGTAAGTGTAAATCTCATGGATCTTGACGTGGAAGAGTATAAGTGTTACGTAGGTTGGTACGGAAGACGAGTGAGTGTCACGTAGCTTGATGAAGAAAAGTGTAAGTGTCACGTAAGTCGGTTAGGAAGACGGATGAATGAGTAAGAGAATCTTTGTTAAACCGTGGTGTCGTGATCTGTTGCAGTATGTTGACGGTCCTCCTTACGGGTTTGTCTGGCCTGGTGACTTTGCTTATATACTCTTCAAAGGGATCACGAAGCATTTTTTTTATTATTATTGTGGGCGGGGATGCGACCCATTGGTTGAAAAATGTTAAATATTTATTTTCAAAGGATTCATTTATTAACCGGGAAGAAGCGCAGATCCTCCGACCCAGAAACCATTTTTTTTCTCATTTGAAGAGTGTCTGTTTTGGTGTTTATTTCTGTCTTCGCTCCACGACTCTATTTTGATCATATATATATATATATATATATATATATATATATATATATATATATATATATATATATATATTGTGTGTATTTAGGCAGGATCTTTTCATTCATACACGTTTCATTAAATAATATAGACGCTACAAATATCCTTAAATGTCTATAATTGGTAACAGAAACCATTGGTTTATACCAATGGCTTCCCCCATACTTCTCCAATTCACTCTCGCGTGGTCATGTGTGACGTCATGAGTTGCAGTGGGATTTTCGCTTCTAGCGTCTTATATGCACGTGTTTATCGTTGCTGAGAAATTATCTATGTAAAAAATCACAGACTATCATCACTGTCTTGTCCGTATATTGCTTAATATGTTGTAATTGATATCTTTGATAATGGCTTATGTAAGCCGAAAGCTTAGATTGTATTAAAAAATATGGATCAATATTGTGATTTTTTTTCTTCATTCAATGATAATGTTATTAAACTTATTAGACGTTACGAAAAGAGTTTACATAAAATAAATAGACAACACTTGTCTATATTATTTAATGAAACGTGTATGAATATATATATAATGCCGAGCCTCTATTTCATGACATTTTGTATATATGTATCAATATGTTGACGCGTTTGAATAAATATTTTCAGGTGAACAACATGTGTGATGACAACATGGTCTGTAACGTCGACGATATGAATACTAATTGCGAAGAGAGTGGTAAGAAAGGAAGATTTCTTTGATAAAATAAAATAGTTAATCTGTAGCCTGCCGTAGAGCAACGGTTAGCAAGATAGTTTTGCGGACCATTACTAGTATAGTAACTTGGATTTTTACAGAGCACCCCACTATTGTGGCCTTTTGCCAGACGAAGATATGTTTTCTAACAATCCTTACCATGCATATATACAATGTTCTCAGTAGCTCCTTGTTTCAGATTTAAGGCTCGTTATTAATTAGACAACAGCTGGTTTTTTTACTGCAACAATAAGAGCTCCAGAGATACATCCAAGAATGAAGATAAACAGAGTATCTACCACTGAACCTCATAAACGAAAAAACAAGCCAACATTATCCCACATACGAGGGAGTATTGATTTGTTTTTTACGGCTTATCAACCTTTTACAGGTTATTTAATGCCAGAAAATATTTTAGATTGTAAGATTATTTTTTGGTGAGAAGAGAGATAATACTGATTTTACTGGTAAAAGCCATGCTGCTTAACCCATAGCTGAGAGGAGAAGAGGGGAATTCATAGTTTTCCTAAGAGTATTTGCGCAAAAATGAATTTAACGAAACCGACCTGAATTGAACCTCGACCGTTATCCATTACGCCACCCGCACATCCAAGCTTTCAGCATCTGGTATTCCCAAGCGGTAACCCATCTAGTTAGTTGCCAGACTCGACATTGCTTGACTTTGGTGATCGTACGAGAACCGGTGTTTCAACGTGATACGGCCGTAAGTCATATTCTACCTGAATGTTACACGTTGAATCCTTAGGCCAGGTAGTGAATGTTATATACTGGTCAAGTGGAAAAGAATAGCATCGCCATGAAAAATTAAGTAAAAAGTAACTTATACAACATCTGTCATGGACGACAGATGTGCGTTGTGATGTAATGGATATCGGCTGGAAATGCGAAATCGGAGAGCCGAGTTCGAATTCCGATCTGGTTCGTTACATTCACTTATACGTTAATATCTTTGGGAAAGGTATGAATCCTTCTCGTCACCCAACAGCTACGGGTTGAATAGCAGGACAGACTCCTGTAGCTTTCGTTAACAGCAAGTCTACCGCAGAAAGAAACGCCAACTTATTACGGGAAAATCTTCTGTCGAGTTAGTCATACATCGAAGAAGACATGATCGCCGAAGCGTGTAGCATGTATGGCATTTAACTGGCGGATTATGAACGATGGGAACAATGGGACTTGTATTCCCCAGGGAGACTACGGGACTTGAGTGCTGTGGCCCTATACTCCTCAGGGAAACAATGGGACTTGAATGCTCTGACCCCATATTCCCCAGGGAGACTACGGGACTTGAGTGCTGTGGCCCTATACTCCTCAGGGAAACAATGGGACTTGAATGCTCTGACCCCATATTCCCCAGGGAGACTACGGGACTTGAGTGCTGTGGCCCTATACTCCTCAAGGAAACTATGGGACTTGAATGGGACACTAGCTGTGACAACGTACTCCCCAGAGATACTATGAGGCTTGAGTCAGTGAGTGTGTCATAGAGACAGAAGTAACTAGCTATTTACGTAAATTATCGTTGGCTCTGTGACTAACTCTACTTGGGTGCACTTTATCTGTTTCTCTTTGCTCGTAGGTATCCCACTCTATCCATACCTATCTATCTATCTATCTATCTATCTATCTATCTATCTATCTATCTATCTATCACACATATCTGTTCTATCTATCTATCTATCTATCTATCTATCTATCTATCTATCTATCACACTCTGTTCTATCTATCTATCTATCTGTTTATATATCTATCTATCTATCTATCTATCTTCTATTTTATCTATCTGTTTTTATTTTCTATCTGAAATTTATTTTGAATAGATTATAATCGGATTCGTTACTTGCTGGGACGTTATAAACGAGAAACACCAACCTGGATCTCCCGACAACGACGCCACATCAAGAATTTTAGTTCATCAACCGACAAAGAGAAACACAGCCTCATCACGTTTGAATTCAAGCTGGAAGGTTTGTAGATGATAAACACTTTCCTTTCATCTTTGCTTCCTCATCAACTCTAATATTCAAAAATTTAATTACAATTTCAATCATAATCTTCTGTCTACTTAATTGCTCTTCCTTTTTTGTTCTCTCTCATTAATAAAGGTTTTCTTTTTCTCATATTCTTTCATACTCAGTAACTTCTTGCATCTTAGCAGCTTTATTGCCTTGGTTTGGGTGAAATTATTAAAAGTAATGCATTAGACCCGTTCTGCGAGAAATGCTTGCCTTATTTCCTGTCCGCTGGCAATTTTTGTTTTTCTTCCTGATTTTCAGTGCGTTGCTATAATAAAACATTTAGAAATTTTTACTTTAGACATGTATTATCTCCATTCTGCAAGTGATGTTTGTTTTAATTCCTGGCCACTAACAATCTGCTTTAAGAAATATGTCTATAACAAAACTATTATCAATGCTTATGATATGTAATCTTGACTACCGTTAATAAGAAAGGTATTTATTGGTATACAAGAACCCCAACTATATTTCTGTTTAATATTGAATTATTATGGAGTTAGACTGGAACTGTTATGAAGCACGTCTTTGAAAAACTGTATAACATATTTTTATTGAACTTTGGTACATGGTTTTGAACTTCATTCCATTTATCAACTAAAGATTTACATTAAACAATTATTTAAAATTTCAATTACAAAAGTAGAAAAAGAATAAGAAGAAGAAGATGGAAAGAGAAAAGGAAGAAAACAAAGAAGAAGTAGTAGTAGAAGAAGAAGAAGAAGAAGAAGAAGAAGATGGAAAGAGAAAAGGAAGAATAGAAAGAAGAAAAAGTAGGATAAAAAGAAAAAGAAAAGGAAGACTAGAAAGAAGAAGAAAAAGAAAAGTAAGAATAGAAAGAAGAAGAAAACGATGAAAAAGAAAAAGAAAATAGAAAGAAGAAAAAGAAGAATAGAAAGAAGAAGAAGAAGAAGAAAAAAAAGGAAAAGAAAAAGATGAAAAAGAAAATAGAAAGACGAAGAAGAAAATGTAAAGGTAGAATAGAAAAAGAAAGAAGAAGAAAAAGAAAAGAAAAGGAAGAACAAAAAGAAGAAGAAAAAGAAAATAGAAAGAAGAAAGGGAAAAAGAAGAAAGAGAAAAGGAAGAATAGAAAGAAGAAGGGAATGAAAAGGAAGAATAGAAAGAAGAAGAAGAAGAAGAAGAAGAAGAAGAAGAAGAAAAAGAAGACTAGAATGAAGAAGAAGAAAAAGAAGAAGAAAAAGAAGAATATCAATAAGATTAATATGAAGAATGAGAAGTGGAAGAAGAAGTTGGATCGGAAGAAGAAGATGAAAATAAAAGAAAGAAAATGAAGAAAAAACGAATAGAAAGAAGAAAGAAAAAGAAGAAGAAGAACAAACAAAAAGAAGAAGAATAAAAAGGAAGAAGAGAAAGAATAAAATAGGAAGTTGTGTTAATAGTAGTAGTAGTAGTAGTAGAAGAAGAAGAAAAAGAACAAGAAGAGGAATAATAGGGAGAAGAAGAAAAAGAATAAAAAGACGAAGAAAGAGAAAAGGAATAAAAAGAAGAAATAGAAGAAGAAGAAAAAGGCGAAGAAGAAACAGAAATAATAAAGCTTTAACAACCAGTCATCAAATCTTTTCCTTTACTTTCTATAAATTTTGAATTATTGTCCATTTGATCGTAAAAAGTCTGGCTGATGAAGGGAATGGACATCTCGAAAAAAATGCACCTTCTTTCTGTTACCTCAAGTTTCTTCTTCATCGTCCATTATTCACTGCTCTATAGGAGAACCGGTATTACATAACAGTTCAGATTTTCTTTTCATGTTTCTTAATACTCTGCTTAGTTTTTGGAAGACATGTTTCATTATTCCAATGAGCACTCAAACTTCGGCATCACATTTTCCGTCTTCCGTTAAAACACTTCCAAGGCATTTAAATATTCGTAACGGCTTAGGTTTGATGCCTCCAATTCGTATTTCTCACTTTGAGCTGTTCCTTTTGCTAACAACTGCATAACTTGTCTTCTTGTAATTGATAGTTAGTCCTTTCTTCGCGCCTTCCTTTACTATCTCTTTGAGGAGTTCCTGTTGTTTCTTTCTGTGTTTGCTATCATCAGCATTTCATCAGCATATGTTTTTAAGATTGTGGCCGCCAATAATTTATCCTTATAAGACTATTAGTATTCTTTAAAATCATCATCATCATCATCAACTTGATTTGTAATCGCAAGGGAGGGGATCCGAATGCAGAAGACACACTGAATACTTCCACAACGGTCTATCAACGACAGCCATAAGTAATTCTGGTATAATCATACTTGCCCATTGTTCGACATTGTCCGACCAGAACCAGTTTTTGGGTTGGCGTCCTCTCCTACGTCCACCTTGAAAGCTGCCTTGCATGATGGTCTTGCACAGGCTTTCTTAAGATTACCACCCTGTAAATAAGTCCGGTGAGAAGACACATCTCTGTCTTACACCCCTTTCTCTTTTTGTGTACTTACTGAATCCATCTTCTCTCTGGAGTTTATTCCCTGTGTAAGTTCTGAAGTATTCTAATATCTTTCCCAAATAAATGCAACTTAGCAGTTTGTCTACAGTATTACGTTGGTGTATTCTCGAATCCATGATGACCTCTTTTAGAAAATTATCGAAAATTATAGGGAGTTGTGAATTTGATTTCAGGATCCAGTCAAAGCAGCGGTAATCTGACGGAGGACGTCGAAAATCAGGAGGAGATACTTGACAGCATGAAAGGAATGTTGGAGCAGTTAAAGATAGAGACAGAAAAAATGGAATTTGATGATCTGTTATTCACAAACATCTCGTACGACGCAGAAAAATTCCTTTGCAAGACAGGCAGCGTGTCAATAAAAAACAAATGTGGTAAGTTGATTGATTACAGATCTTCATTGGTCTTTTAAATTTTAGTATTATTTGACAGCTGCTGAAATTCGAACCCGAGTTTCATGGCTGCTATTGCTTCAACTTACACCACCTTTGATAGTAATTTCCAACTCGTCTCCGCTTGTTTTTGCTATAATTCGTATAATTAGGGCAAGAATAAATCTGGAATCTTTGCTATTGTTTTTCAAAACCATTTAAAACGTATTGTGTTAGCTAATTTCTTGCTACGATGTCCTGTTTTTGTTGCATTGCTCATCGAAACAGAAATCAGATCGTTATCAAGTATATATGTTATGGTCCAGGTTAAGACCAAGGAAGAACAACACGAACACAAGACTAGAAATAACGAAGGTATATTACACGAAATAATAATACAAGATGTGGAAGGTGTTAGTATGACTGTCAGTCTGGTTTGGAGTGAACTACTATCGGCTCGACTCGATTCGACCCTCTCTCTTGAGAGGCGTAGTATACATAGTTTTAGAAAGAGTTCATTATGTAGTTATAGGTAAGGACCCATGATAATATAATATTCACGAAAATGCTTAATATGGATCTTTTCTGTTTTATTTAGTCCGTTGTCCAGTGGGAACATTCTTCAATGTGGTTCACAGACGCTGTTTCAGTTGTAGTAAAGGTACTTACCAACCCCAAGAAGGAATGGTTACATGTATGGTCTGTCCAGCCCACACGAGCACCCTTTCGGAACACTCAAAGACAATCAACGAATGCAAAGGTACGTCTTGTGGGATTTTCGAATATCTGTCTTACATTTGGTTTAATTATAGAGCAAGGCAGTAAAGACACAAGGAGTTACCGAGTGTGAAAGAATAAGAAAAACATTATTAAGAAGAGAGGACAATAGAAAAAGAAGACAAGCGAGAAGTGCGAGAAAAGAAACTTTTCGCGTAGAACTTACGGTTTCATCTAGATGATTCAACTGTAAATTGATGAGATCTTATTGCAAATCAAATATTGCCCTTAAATTCATAAAGTCTAGGTACCAAAGATGAAAGGTGACCAGAACAATTACCATGAAGGTGTTTATAAAAAAAACGGCCCAGGGAAGGTTTGTTATGTCGATGGGAAAGGGGCTGGAGCTTAGATGTCAGGTTAGGATCATTAACATTTTATTCGTTTTGAAAATATTCATCAACAAATATTCATAAGAAGCGATTAAGCAAGAATTATTATTTTCCTGAGATGATCTTAAAGATGTCCTCACTTCCCAAACAAATCTACACCCGTTTTTAAAATTGAATGGGTTTAATAAAAATGGCCTTTTTTATTTTGCGCAGAAAATTGTTGTCTGTAGCCATCTAATATATTTAAGATTTATTGGTTGATTAATTTCTTTTTTAATGGCTTATTGTGCGTTATTTAAAGCCAGATTTTAAGAATTTTTGGAGATAATGATTTAATGATACAGTTTCTACAAATTAACCCATACCAGGGGAGAAGAAGAGGCTGATTCATACCTTTCCCGACAGTATTTGCGCGTCATTGAATATAATGAACCCGACTGGAATTGGAATTCAGCTCCTGAGCCGTTATCCATTACACCAGCTGCACATGTAAGCCTCCAGCACTTGGTATTCCCAAGAGGTCACCCATCTAGGTACTGACCAGGCTTGAAGTTGCTTAACTCCGGTGATCGTTCGAGTATCGGTGTTTCAACGTAATATGGCCGTAAGATCTTTATACCGCCCTCACATCAAAGCCTACAACACCTGGTATTCCCAAACGGTCACCCATTTAGGTACTGATCAGGCTCTACGTTGCTTAATCTCGGTGTTTGAACGTGATATGGTCGTAAGCACTTTTAAGATTTTGCTTCGTCGTATTCTAACAGTTTTGATATACTCAAATAATTACGTAAAGTTGAAATACCAGGTTGGTTTATGACGCGCTATACGTCGCTCGATGGGGAGATAGAAGCGTTTTAAACCTGGTTGGCAATCTAGCGAGTGATGATGTTTTAAAAAAAAAAATCACCCCTCCTCCATCATCATCATCACCTTTGCTACTCAGTATTTGCATGTAAGTGAATGTAGCGAACACAAGTGAAATTCGAACTCAGCTCTCCGATTCCCCATTCCGAGCCGCTGTCCATTGCACCATCCCTTCTTAAATTTGTAATTTTTATTTTCTGTTAACGTTTGTCTTATTCTGCTGACAGCCCAGTGCCTTCCTGGATCTTTCTCGCGGGATGGACTTGAATTTTGCGAGACATGCCCTATTGGCTTCTATCAACCAGCGTACGCTCAAAAGAAATGTTTGAAGTGTTCCGATGGTACGTCTACAGTCTCAAGAGGTAGCAGACTTATTTCCAACTGTGAAGGTAAGATCACCATGGAACTTTTAAAAAAAAATGTTGTAACCCAGAAAGGGTTACTGAATGAGAAATAACCAAAACGGAGGTTGGAAATGAAATGGTAATCTTTATAACATCAACAAAATACAATACTCGCCAGCGGCGTGAAGTAGGTAAACCACTACTAGTGGTGGACTACTTAGACAGCATATTACCTCCACTTGCAACAGTGTCCATTGTATTTATGAGGATTGAGACATACCCATTAGTGTTCATAGGTACGGTATATAACAAAATTCTTACAAGGGCTAATCTTTGTATTAATAGACTTATTTGTATGATATTGTGAGATATGCAGTGCACTTGTCTCTTTATGAGGCTAAGATAAAGTTAGAAAGAATCGTAACAGTAAAATGTTTGATGAAAAATTGGAAAGAAAGTATTCAAAAAGCCTCCTATTACGCCATTTTTAGATTTTCAGCATGAGTTCTTACACCCTGTTTTCTGGGGCTGTAGAATTCGTCGACTAGACCTTTGCAGAGGAGTACTCCCTAATAAGGAGCCCTGGGTATGACGATACACTACATCCAGCAGTAAGGCCTCGGATCAGGAGGTTTTGAGGTGTGTAGAACCACATCTCAATTGCTGCTGTTCCCAGGTTCACTCTGACCCGGGGTGGTAGCACCTGTTAGGGTTCCAGCTATGGACAAATAGTTATCCCAACAGCAAACTAGGGTCAAAATACTATGAAAACACAATAATAAAAATAGAAGCAATACATATTTGAATGTAGATCATTTTTGAGATCAGCTGCCAATTTGACTATTAAGGCAGGAATAAATTCGTGTACATAGATACTGAGTTGAGAACTGATAATTTTGACTATTAAGGCAAGAATAGATTCTTGTGCATAGATACTGAGTTGAGAACTGATAATTTTGACTATTAAGGCAAGAATAAATTCTTGTGCATAGATACTGAGTTGAGAACTGATAATTTTGACTATTAAAAGGCAAGAATAAATTCTTGTGCATAGATACTGAGTTGAGAACTGATAAATTTGACTATTAAGGCAAGAACAAATTCTTGTGCATAGATACTGAGTTGAGAACTGATAATTTTGACTATTAAGGCAAGAATAAATTCTTGTGCATAGATACTGAATTGAGAACTGATAATTTTGATTATTAAGGCAAATTTTGAATAAATCGAATTGAGAAGAAATTTGCATAGATACTGAGTTGAGAACTGATAATTTTGACTATTAAGGCAAGAATAAATTCTTGTGCATAGATACTGAGTTGAGAACTGATAATTTTGACTATTAAGGCAAGAATAAATTCTTGTGCATAGATACTGAGTTGAGAACTGATAATTTTGACTATTAAGGCAAGAATAAATTCTTGTGCATAGATACTGAGTTGAGAACTGATAATTTTGACTATTAAGGCAAGAATAAATTCTGGTGCATAGATACTGAGTTGAGAACTGATAAATTTGACTATTAAGGCAAGAACAAATTCTTGTGCATAGATACTGACGTGAGAACTGATAATTTTGACTATTAAGGCAAGAATAAATTCTGGTGCATAGATACTGAATTGAGAACTGATAATTTTGACTATTAAGGCAAGAATAAATTCTTGTGCATAGATACTGAATTGAGAACTGATAATTTTGACTATTAAGGCAAGAATAAATTCTTGTGCATAGATACTGAATTGAGAACTGATAATTTTGACTATTAAGGCAAGAATAAATTCGTGTACATAGATACTGAGTTGAGAACTGATAATTTTGACTATTAAGGCAAGAATAAATTCTGGTGCATAGATACTGAGTTGAGAACTGATAATTTTGACTATTAAGGCAAGAATAAATTCTGCATAGATACATAGATACTGAATTGAGAACTGATAAATTTGACTATTAAGGCAAGAATAAATTCTGGTGCATAGATACTGAGTTGAGAACTGATAATTTTGACTATTAAGGCAAGAATAAATTCTGGTGCATAGATACTGAATTGAGAACTGATAATTTTGACTATTAAGGCAAGAATAAATTCTTGTGCATAGATACTGAATTGAGAACTGATAATTTTGATTATTAAGGCAAGAATAAATTCTTGTGATACTGAATTGAGAACTGATAATTTTTGATACTTCTTATGCATAGATACTTTGAGAACTGATAATTTTGACTATTAAGGCAAGAATAAATTCTTGTGCATAGATACTGAGTTGAGAACTGATAATTTTGACTATTAAGGCAAGAATAAATTCTTGTGCATAGATACTGAGTTGAGAACTGATAATTTTGACTATTAAAGGCAAGAATAAATTCTTGTGCATAGATACTGAATTGAGAACTGATAATTTTGACTATTAAGGCAAGAATAAATTCTTGTGCATAGATACTGAGAACTGATAATTTTGACTTGAGAACTGATAATTTTTTGACTATTAAGGCAAGAATAAATTCTTGTGCATAGATACTGAGTTGAGAACTGTAATTTTGACTATTAAGGCAAGAATAAATTCTTGTGCATAGATACTGAGTTGAGAACTGATAATTTTGAATATTAAGGCAAGAATAAATTTTGATAGATACTGAGTTGAGAACTGATAATTTTGATTATTAAGGCAAGAATAAATTCTTGTGCATAGATACTGAATTGAGAACTGATAATTTTGACTATTAAGGCAAGAAATAAATTCTTAATGCATAGATACTGAATTGAGAACTGATAATTTTGACTATTAAGGCAAGAATAAATTCTTGTGCATAGATACTGAATTGAGAACTGATAATTTTGATTATTAAGGCAAAAATAAATTCTTGATACTGAATTGAGAACTGATAGATACTGAATTGAATTGAAACTGATAATTTTGACTATTAAGGCAAGAATAAATTCTTGTGCATAGATACTGAGTTGAGAACTGATAATTTTGACTATTAAGGCAAGAATAAATTCGTGTAGATAGATAGAACTGATAATTTTGATTTATTAAGGCAAGAATAAATTCTTGTGAGAACTGATAAACTTTTTTGACTATTAAGGCAAGAATAAATTCTTGTGCATAGATACTGAATTGAGAACTGATAATTTTGACTATTAAGGCAAGAATAAATTCTTGTGCATAGATACTGAATTGAGAACTGATAATTTTGATAGATACTGAGTTGAGAACTGAACTATTAAGGCAAGAATAAATTCTGGTGCATAGATACTGAGTTGAGAACTGATAATTTTGACTATTAAGGCAAGAATAAATTTTGTGCATAGATACTGAATTGAGAACTGATAATTTTGATTATTAAGGCAAAAAAATATAGATTCTTGAGAACATAGATACTGAATAGATACTGAGAACTGATAATTTTGACTATTAAGGCAAGAATAAATTCTTGTGCATAGATACTGAATTGAGAACTGATAATTTTTGACTATTAAGGCAAGATAAATTCTTGCATAGATACTGAATTGAGAACTGATAATTTTGACTATTAAAAGAATAAATTCTTGTGCATAGATACTGAATTGAGAACTGATAATTTTGACTATTAAGGCAAGAATAAATTCTTGTGCATAGATATACTGAATTGAGAACTGATAATTTGACTATTAAGGCAAGAATAAATTCTTGCATAGATACTGAATTGAGAACTGATAATTTTGACTATTAAGGCAAGAATAAATTCTTGTGCATAGAGATACTGAATTGAGAACTGATAATTTTTTGACTATTAAGGCAAGAATAAATTCTTGTGCATAGATACTGAATTGAGAACTGATAATTTTGACTATTAAAGGCAAGAATAAATTCTTGTGCATAGATACTGAATTGAGAACTGATAATTTTGACTATTACTATTAAATAAATTCAAAAATAAATTCTTGATAATTTTGACTATTAAGGCAAGAATAAATTCTGATAGATTGAGAGAACTGATAATTTTGACTATTAAGGCAAGAATAAATTCTGGTGCATAGATACTGAGTTGAGAACTGATAATTTTGACTATTAAGGCAAGAATAAATTCTAGTAGATATTGCATAGATACTGAGTTGAGAACTGATAAATTTGACTATAATAAAAGAATAAAATTTGCATAGATACAAGAAACAAATTCTGGCAAGAATAAATTGCATAGATACTGACGTGAGAACTAATAATTTTGATTATTAAGGCAAGATTAAATTCTTGTGCATAGATACTGAGTTGAGAACTGATAATTTTTGACTATTAAGGCAAGAATAAAATCTGGATACTGAGTTGAGAACATAGATACTGAATTGAGAACTATTAAGGCAAGAATAAATTTGACATAGATAAATTGAGAACTGATAATTTTGAACAAAGAATTTCTGGTGCATAGATACTGAGTTGAGAACTGATAATTTTGACAAGAATAAATTAATACTGGCAAACTGATAATTTTGAATAAATTCTTGTAAATTTTGCATAGATACTGAATTGAGAACTGATAATTTTGACTATTAAGGCAAGAATAAATTCTTGTGCATAGATACTGAGTTGAGAACTGATAATTTTGACTATTAAGGCAAGAATAAATTCGTGTACATAGATACTGAGTTGAGAACTGATAATTTTGACTATTAAGGCAAGAATAAATTCTGGTGCATAGATACTGAGTTGAAAACTGATAAATTTGACTATTAAGGCAAGAATAAATTCTTGTGCATAGATACTGAGTTGAGAACTGATAATTTTGACTATTAAGGCAAGAATAAATTCTTGCGCATAGATACTGAATTGAGAACTGATAATTTTGACTATTAAGGCAAGAATAAATTCTTGTGCATAGATACTGAATTGAGAACTGATAATTTTGACTATTAAGGCAAGAATACATTCTTGTGCATAGATACTGAGTTGAGAACTGTTAATTTTGATTATTAAGGCAAGAATACATTCTTGTGCATAGATACTGAGTTGAGAACTGATAATTTTGACTATTAAGGCAAAAATAAATTCTTGTGCATAGATACTGAATTG